TTATATTTAACAGACATAGTGTCTCTGGTTAGTGTATACACTATATAGTACAATCAGACTCAGTAAAAAAAAATCTACAGTCATTTTTTTCTATAAGTTATTTTTGATAACTGAGTGATTCTTTCCTTTGATGTTTTTGGTCTCTTCCACAATCACTTATCTCTTCAATTACTCCTCTGCAATTTTGCCAATTTGTGGCAGTTGTGCCCCTCCCTTTTTATTCACTCTGAAGCAGTATTTTCTTGCATGCATATACAACTCTCACAAAAGTTATGCTTTGGTTATTAGCTACATTGTGTTATGGCTTTGTTCTCTTTTTTCACATTGTTATTTTGTTATATAATGATTTCATTGAACTGATGTGATGTTTATAAATCTTTTTACGGGCTTGTATTTGAATCTACATAGCACCACACATTTTGAATTGTTTTTGAGTCTCTGTTTTATAAATTTATTTTACTTGATATGTTTAAAATTTATTATTTGCTTTAATTGTATAGAATATATTATCTATCCATAACAGTTTATAACAGGCTTCCAAATTTACTATTGCAAGGTCATTCATGACTGATGAAGATTGAAGCAATGATAATTGTTCTTTGAAGTTACATCATACTGCACAAGACCAATTAACTTTTGAATTTCTGTCTTCAAAATCAACCTGTACGTTGCTCACAACTAATGAAGATTCATGCTTCGAAACAGAACTATAGCTGCCATCCTGTCTTGCTGTCTTTTGTAACTCATTAATCCCTTATAGCATATGTCTACTTACAGTATTTTTTCCACTGCCAACTTTTTAAATATATGTCATTGCAGTTGTATTTCACATAAATGTTATTGTTAATATTGTAAAAAAATATTCCTGGATAGTATTCTTAATCTTTCCTATTGTCTTTTGTAATTTGTAATTACAATAATCTTACTCATAATTTTGCAAATTTTGAGTCCTATATGCACCATTATTTGTTTTTACACATTCTATAATCATTTTTATACCACTGGTACTTAGTTCTCTGTTTTTTTATGTCATTCAGAGATTTCCTACCCTTTTAGTCAAATTTAATAACAACAATATTACTCTAGAAATTATCACCACAGTCACATTTCCCAGCAACTATGGCACAAGATAATTAAGTGTACTACTCACTATATAATAGGAAAACATGGGTTGGATTCAAAAGCTCTATCCTTCTAATGGTGTAGTCTTCATCTGGTACACAAAGGCTTCGTCTAGCACAATGTTGGGGACTCCTGCTCTAGAGGAAGGCTCCTTGCCCTGGATGAATGCTTCACCATTAGAGGAACACAATATTTGTATCCCACCCATTATCTATTTCTATAGCAAAATGTGGACACAGCAACAATAACTATCAGACCTATAGTGTTCCAAAATGCTGCTGGCTTCATTTTTAGATTAAAAAAAAAATGATACAGTGAGAATAATCATATTCCTTCAAATCAGAAGTGAGAATCAAAACTGGACTATCAAGCATTCTTGTATTATAATCTGCATGCACAGCCTCCTATAAATCCATCATTTCATATTCTGCTAGGAATTATAAAACTTCCAGCCTTTTGACCACCAAAAATGACTATGTTGGCGATCATGGGATCTGTATGTACAAAAGCCACATGGCACAGGAACTGTAGTAATGAGGGGAATTGGGTGAGACTAATTGAAAAAGCTGTCTGGATCCAACCTTAGAGATGAAAAAATGGTTGCCAAACTAAACAAAAATATTAAATGATCATAGAATTTGCAGAGATCTAAAATCCAGTGCATTTATTAAACTACATGAGGATTTACCACTGAGTCTCATATACCAGGTATATTTGTATGAGAAACACAAATGTGAAATAAAATCTCATAATTAAGTTCCAAGAGCATTGTTCTAAAGTAAATGTGGGGGGCTTCCGGTCTGGCTCCCGTGAAAGGCAGACGCATCCTCGGGTCGCTCCCGAGGGCGCCTTGCCCGCCCGCGGTGGAGGAGGGAATCCGCGCAAGCGGAGACCCGAACGAGCCCCTCAGATGAGAGGAGCTCGGATCCGGGGCGCTTTAGGGCATTCCAGGGGGGAGTCTCTCTTTCGGTCGA